GAATTAGTGGGGCCAAACTCCCATAGAACCAGGATGTTTAGTTTTAGCTTTCTGCAGTTGCAGAAGCTGGGTGTAGGAGCTCTTATTCCTCTCTATATTATAACTAAAAGCTAGTGTTCTCTTGCTGCTAGAATTACATGTGAGACAATCTATTTTACTGAATTTGCCTTTGCCATAGGTGGGTTTATAGGATGTTACTATATTGGAACAGTTAATTAGTAGTAGTAAATATATATATTGTTCTGTTAAGCATTTTGATAGAGTTACAGTTTAGCCAATTCTTTTATTTTTATTTTGTTTGTATTTTAATTATAGTGTAAAATAAAGTGTGTTTTGCTTAAAGTCGAGTAGTTTGACTAATCAAATTACATCTGGAATGCAAAGCCTTACACTTACCTTTAAAATAAATGAAATTAGGCTCTAGGCTATCTTCTTAATATATTTTGAAGCAGTTTGGTTTGGTCCATAATATTATGGACCAGATGGAACCTCTGCTCTCTGTCTGGCTGAGATATTCATTGGTTTGTAGGGAAGCCTATAACCTGAAAATGATTTCCTTTGTCGTCATGGCAACATGAAACACATTAATTTTATATCCAAATAGAAATGCTGATGTGCTCTTTGATCACAACTCCACTTCATCTCAGAAGTAAGTGGACAGTTTACAGACTAAGAATTTATACAATAGATACCCAAACAGACTTGGGAGTTCAGAGGCATGAAACTTTAAAATGTTATGAACAGATGCAGAAAATAATCAAGAAAGCTAATGAAATGCTGGTCTTAAATCTAGAGCACTGTAGTATAAGGATGCAGAAGTTATGCTACAATTATACAAAACTCTGATTAGACTTTACTTGGCATACTGTGAGCAGATCTACAAAGGATATATTAGCCTTGGAGGAAGTACAATGTAAATTTCCAAGAATGATACCTGAACCTCATTGATTAAGTTAAGAGAAGAGATTGTTTTCTCTAAGAGTTTAGAAAGTTAAGGGAGTGATCTGATCAAAGTCTTCAAGATATTAACAGGAGAAAAAACAGGGTAGATAAAGATAAACTATTTCTACCGGTTAGGGATTCTAGAACTAGGGGGCATAGAGAATTATGGCTGGATCATTCAGGGAGACGTTAGGAAGCTCTTCTATACACAAAGGGCGGTAGATGCTTGGAACCGTCTTCCACAAGTGGTAGCAGATGTCAGATCAGTTGTTAATTTTAAATCTGAGATAGGTAAATTCTGTTAAGCAAAAGTATTTGTCCGTCCAAGACAAAACAGAGAGAAAAGAGGATTGGTGGCGATGCACTTCCTCAAACAACTCTTAACCAGTACTACATAATGGTAGAGGTGGCAAATGCCACAAGGTACCAGCAGTGGTCATCTGGCAAAATATCACAGGTGGGAGCATGAGGTGGTTATGTATTGGCATTGATGAGATGTGGAGAATGGGTAAAGGGTGAGGGAAATTTGTTGATATTATTCTTCTTACACCTATGACAACTTGTAAGGCGCTGGGGTGGACCATTTCAAATAGCCCCCTTCTGTATCCATCAGCCCCTGTGGCTTCTTTTAAACTCTTTCCTAAAGGCTGCAACCACAACTCCCATGAAGACTATGCTACCTAGACTGAAAATCTGAATTTCTGAAGCAATCTTTTCTCTGGATTGGATTTGTTAACTGGAAACTGTCCTGACAGTGCACTCCAGACGGAGAAGAAAGAATAGAGAACCTTCCACAGTGCTACCAAATGCATAGTATCTGGCATTGTGCAATGGGATAGGATTACTTAATGACGTTGCAGTAAAGTGCCACAAGGTATCTCTGACCATAATGTGATCGAATTTTACATTTGGGTTTGAGTGAAAGAAGAACGGGTCCAAGCCTAATATTTAATACATAAATAAGTGCAGTTATGAAGGCATGAATGCAGAGTTAGCGACAGTGAACTGACAAGTTAGAATATTTAAGAATACACAGAATAGATACATTCCAAGAGAGAGAGACATTCAAGAGGAGGACCCACAATCCATGGTTAACTTCAAAAAAAGTATCAAACTTAAAGAAAAAGCATATAGTTACAAAAAAGATATGTGTCAGTTTAGAAGATTGTTCAAAATATAAAAGACAGCAAAGGATAACTTCAAAAAGGAAAGAATAGAGTATGAGATAAACCTATCTAGAAATATAAAAATAGATAGTAAGAGTTTCTGTACATATTTTAAAAGGGCAAGGGTTAACAATTTGAACATTGGCCCATAGAAAGTGAGTCTGGGGAATTAATAGTAGAAAAAAAAGGCAATGACAGATGACTTGAATAGATATTTCGCATTAGTCTTCTCTGTAGAAGATATTAAAAAACAACTGTAAATCAGAAAATAGAAGTGAGGGAGTAACTCAAGAAAATAACAATCACAAGGGAAATGGTACTGAACAAAATTTTTAACAATGGGCTGACATGTCCCCAGACCCTGGAGGACTTCATTTACGATATTAAAAAAATGTGGTTCATTAAACACTTGAATCATTGGCTTTAATTTTTTGAAGTTTCTTAGATTGGAGGAATGTCTCATTTAATAGTGAATGTAAGTCCTTTATTCAAAGAAAAGAAGACAGCAAACAGGAAACAATAGGCCAGTTAGCTTAATGTTTATCATAGGGAAGATGGTATTAATGAGATTTTAGCAGAACCTTTGGATAAGTCCAAGGTTTCAGACAGAATTAATATTGCTTAAATGTGATCTCTCTTCCGGAAAACAATCTATTGGATTTCTTTGAGGAGGTATATGAGCTGTGGTTAAAGGGAATGTACTATACTTAAATTTGTAGAAGATATTTGATAAAGTATCACATTGAAAGTTACTGCAGAAAATGGTGCAGGGGGTAATGTATTGGCTTAGGTAGAATTTAGCTATTTAACAAGAAATTGAAAGTATATCTGAATGGGTTATTTTTTCATTGGCACCGTGTAATGACTGGTGTGCCACAGAGATGACTGCAGGGGCCTCAACTTTTTACAATTCATATAGGTGACTTGGATTAAGAGGAGAAAGGTTAAATTTCTTAATGACAGTAAGATAAATAGGAAACTAAGTTGTGAAGAGGATGTAAAGAAGCTAAAAAGGTGATAGATAGGTTAAGCAAATAGGCAATGGTACATCGAATATAATGTCGGAAAATGTGAAATTGTCCATTCTGGCATGAAGAATAAAAAGCTTGAGGTCTAAATGATGAGAGATTGCAGTGCTTTGAGATGCTTTGAGATGCAGAAGTATCTGATGTCTTTGTGCACGAATCAGAAGAGGTTAGCAAACAGGTACTGCAGTTCATTTAGAATATTATCATTTATTGTGAGGGAAATTAAATGCAAGGGTAGGGAGATTATTTTGCAGTTCTGCAAAGATATCTGGAATACTGTGTAAAGTATTGGTCCCCTTACGTAAGGAAGTAAATACATTGCAAACTATTTGAGATGGTTTTCCAGACTAATATCTGGAATGGGTGTGTTGCCTTTGGAGGAAAGGTTGGATAGGTTGGGCTTGTAGTCATTAAAGTTTCGAAGTGTAAAAGATAACCTGATTGAGATATAAAATATTCTGAGAGGTCTTGGCAGGGTGGATGCAGAAAGGATGTTTCCTCCTGTGGAACAATATGGAATTAGGAATCATAGTTTAAAGTAAGGGGTCACCAATTTGAGGCAGAGATAATGATAAGTCTTTCTCATGGACTGTTGTGAAGTTTTGGAATTTCTCTTCATCAAAAATCTGTGGAAACAACATAGAGGTAAATAGTTTACTGGTAAGCATGTGGTAAAAGGTTAAAGGAGCTAGGCTGGAACGTAAAGTAATCATGATGGTTCATGATCTTATTGAATGGCAGAGCAGGTATGAGGACCAAATGGCTTACCCCTGACCCTAATTCATAAAAGTTCACAATTCTGAGTTAAGAGTCGGAAACTTTGGAAGGGTTCCAACTTACTTACCTAAATAGTTACACAGGAAGAGAGATTAAAACCTGCTCTAACTCCTGAATTAATCAGATCAAATTGATACCTCCATAAGACACCCAGTCTGACACCTTCATCCCTGATATTCAATTCAACCTTATCTTGGAAACCCAACACCTCCGTCCCTCCTGTCTAATCTCCCTCCTCCTGATACCTGACCCCCTCCTCACTGCCAGAACCCCAACCCCAGGACCTAGTCCTTCAACACTTGGTCTAACTCTCCTTTTCTGGTACTCGATTGCCCTGTAAAACCGCTGGCTTATCACCCTGCCCCCGTCATCCAGCTAGCACCGTATCCCCTTACTCACTTGATACTATACCCTTTACCTACCTGCCATAATATCCTGTCACTTTTCTGCCACCAAGCCCCTTGTATACCTTCCACCCAATCTGTCACCTGCCTACCTGCTACCATACTCATCCATCGACTTACTTTGCGTGCTTATTTTCTCCCTTTAGCTGGTCAAAGTGGCGTTGAACCTTTAAACCCTGCATTATGGCAGTTTACTGCTGAAGAAAGACCAATGGTTTCGTCTCCAACATTGATCCTATGCTGCACTGGAAGACTCTGAGATCAGGCCTGATCTGCATTTTTCAAGAGGCCTGAACTTCAGGCTGGAAGTGCAGAGCTCTGCAGCATCATAAGTAAAAAAGAGCAGAGTGGCAATCTAACTGTCTTTCCCAATTATCAGAAGATTTGTTCCTAATTACCTACCACTGTTCACAACTAGCTTTGCAGGTTTGGAAAACTTAGTTCTGATCTATTGATTGTAGGATTACATAATTCTGTCTCACATGCTGCTTCAACTGTTTGGCATTCAAGTATTCCTATGTTGTAGCTTCATCATGTTGATAACAGGATGGTATTAAAGTGAACTTCATATTAAAGTTCGCTTTAATACCAACCTGGTATCAACATGATATCTCCTGGTGGAGATTGTAACCAAAACTAATTGAATTGAATTTTCAGAACTGTGTTTGTTTTTAAAATTCTAGGCCACTATAAGGACAATATCAAGGTTGCTATTAAAATGCTGAAAGAAGGTAGCATGTCTCCTGAGGCATTCTTGGCAGAAGCCAATCTAATGAAGACACTTCGACACGACAAGCTGGTGCAGCTGTATGCCGTTGTAACGAAAGAGCCCATCTACATAGTGACAGAATACATGGCAAAAGGTACAGTGAAGATACTGCTGCGTGTTTTCCAATGCAATTGCAACTGTGGAAGCATTTTATCCTAAATAAAGCTACCATTTATTTGTATTAACTATGATTTTCTTGATCTATAAACTATTGATTAATTAACATGTTTATTTTATGCACAGGTTTGTAGCTGTATATCATTGTAAATTGGAATTAGATAAGTTGTATGCTATTTCTGTCATTTTGCACAAAACTGTAGAAATGGGGTGGGAGTTTATACGGGACTGTTTAGGAGCCAAATATTGGCGCAAGATACAGAGCATGTGCCCTGAGAGGCTTGAAATTGTGCCTCAAGCCTCATTTTTTTAACCTGTTCAGAGATATTATTACACACCTTTGGAGCAGGTGGGCCTTAAACTCAGGTCTCCTAGTCCAGGGGTATGGACACTACCACTGTGCCACAAAAGGGCCCTCTCAAGCTTTATTGACGATATCTGGGTGAGCTGTTGGTACCTGTCACACCTCCACAGCGAATTTGATCATTTGCTGTTGATAAATTTGGGGGAATTTTCCTCACTAGCAAAAAGAAAGATGGGGATGATCAACATTACTATTCAGCCAGTGAAGCACCTCAGGTTGAAACCAGTTTCAGGAAGCAGATTTACCATTTACAAATGTAAAGGAATTGGCACCTGTGATAGGTAGCTGACAGGTGTAACAGACAAGTGGCTTGACCCAATAGCTGGTCAACTATTTTTCAGGCATCCCACTGGGTGGGCTTTTTCCCCTAGAATTGGCCTTTGTTGTGCATGATTTCTGCCAATAAAGTGGGTTCAATGAAGTCCAAATTTTGCTGCAATTTATTTGACAATGAATTTGAGGTCTACCATGTGTACTCCGATTTTTGGTTACTTGCCAATATAGAACTTTCTACCTGAGAAAAATAGAAGGTAGTTTAGTATGTGGAGTATGTCATTGATCCAATGGCATTCTCTTCCTCGATTGTCAATAACGTTGACTATAATGTGATTTGAATGTGTGACTTATTCTGCTGTAGGTAGCTTGCTTGACTTCTTAAAGACTGATGAAGGAAGTAAGATTCAACTAGCAAAGTTAATTGACATGACTGCGCAGGTAGGGGAATTATGTTTTTACTACTGTTTCACTTTGTTCCATCGTTGTCACCAGGACTGTGGCGAAGTGGGTGGCTCAAACTGCCTAACCTATTTTCTGTGCTTTCTTTGTAAACAGTGTGAACCTGAAATTTAACACTCAATGTCTGGTTAATAGCAATGGACAAGAGTGTTGAGGAAGAGATATGGCAGCAACTATGATGTAATGATACATCAAAGAAGGATGCTATTAGCTCATGGCATCTTTGCCAGTTCCTGATAGAGCTACTTCATTAATTCCTCTCCTTAGTTCTTTCACCAGAGCCCTTTGAGTTTTCATATCTCCCTATAAATTTCACAAGAAGCAGTTGTCATTGGAAATATCTTCACTGGGAATTCTGCTGATGAACTGCATTGAGTTAGGTGAAAAGCCCAAATAGATTTATTAACACAAGTGATGACTGTTCTTTTCTATGAATGCAATAATGCTTGGTCGTCAATGGCTAGAGTTACTAAATGGAATGTAGGGCACCAGTTTAAAAAGTTAGATAATATATGAAAGAAGAAAGTGCATGTTGAGGAATCCATCTCCATTCAGGGAACCTGTTGTAAAATTGGCTGAGATACAGAAATGTCGGATCCTGGGCTGCTCGCTTTAGGGTCAAGGTCTGACCTGTTTGCTTTAAAAGTATTTTTAAACAATCTATCTTTTGCTTAAGTAAATTTATCATTCGACCTTAGGAATACCTTACCTTGTAAAAACTGAATAACATGATTCATCATGGACTCATTTTATTGTATGTGCCCAACTACAGAAAGGAAGTACCTCTGGAAGATTTATTTTTTTAAAATCTCTGACTCAGACGATGGTCTCTTCCATAGCCAGAAATTTGTACACTGGAAAAAGCAGCACCTCTGGCCTTCTCCTGTATAGTTTGCCCACATGGCTTGCAGCACCTGAAGTTCTGAGAGTCTGTAGTTAATAATTTGTTTGAAGAGGATATTAGAAGGTCTTTTCATAAGTGTACTTGGTCAGTGCAGCAAAGGTATAAATGTTGGTTTAAGGTTAAATGTTGAGCACCTGATATGTCTTTTTTACCTAATATCGGTAGGATTAACAAAGTAATATTTATTGTTCATTATGATCCTACCTTTGAGCTGATAAAGAAATAATAGGATAAATGTTGTGAGACTGTCATCGAACTGACTGGTAAAAGTACCAATTCTGATCTGTAATATAAGAAAATAAAAAGTTGAATCTTAACAAAGGAGATGCCCACATTATCAAGCAAATTGTTTTGATTATCAAGTTGTATGTATTCAGTGAGTACCAGAACTGGACTGTGCAATAACTGTTTCTGTTAGCAGGCTGCCCATTGAATTGGGCTTCAGGGTTGTTAATGCTCCTGGACCAGGCCTCCAAATTTATTACAATTTGGTGGGAATCAGGAACTTTTAAAAAAGTTGACAAAGTGTGAGATCCTAAGTACTTACCAAGAGAATAAAGTTACAAGATTCCACTGTTTTGATCAAACAACTATACACTTTACTACGCAAAGGTAGAATATTCACACAATATACATATATAACTTATATTCTAACATTGTAAATTAACATGAGGCAAATATGGTAAGATACCAGGCACTCATCTAAATAGGACCAAATTGTCATTAAAATTCCATTCCTGACTTCTTCCATAATCATGATATCCTTCACATTTTCAAAGGTTTGCTCTAATTCCAATTAACAAAGCCATCAGTCTGATAACATTTCAGTTTTCATAGTGAATTCAATAAAAGTCTCATTGTGTTTCATCCTTATTGTTGTAAAACTTTATTTAGTAAACTTCAGGAATAAGCTTCTAAGTGTTAAGTACCACATTTCTAACTGTTTCATATTCTGAGGATTATTTTTCTAAAAGACTTGAATAAACATTCATTGCCTTACCAATCAGGATGTTTTGTAGCACAAGAGTTCATGAGTCCCTTATTCAGGTCAATTTTTTTTGACCAATTTTCTGAAAAGAGGGAAAATATCTCTCTGAAGAAGGATTCAGGACACTGGGCTCAAAACAGATGCTGCCAGATCTGTTGAGTTTCTCCAGCAATCTCTGTTGTTATTGTTGAAGATACTTCTTGACCCTTTCCTTAATACATTTAGGAACTAAATTAAGATTTATTTATGTTAATTTTAAAAATGGGACAAGACTCCCTTTCAGCACTAAACTTTATCGTATTCATGTTTCCTGATTTCTTTCTCACTTTGAAGTTTCCTTTCTCTTATCATTTTCCTCCCAAGTCAACGTCTGTCTGGAGTTCAAGTTCAAACATTTTGGCTTTTTCAAGCTCAATTTTTCTCACTTCTGTTTCCTTTTCTACCTCATCTGCAACTCCATTCTGGCTAACTCAAGCTGTATTTACCTTGGGTTAATCTCTTTTTCTTTCAATCCCAGATGCTGCGCTATTAACTCAACTATATATGTTTTCTTAGACCCTGCTTTTAATTCTAACTCCAGATTTCTTGCTAATGATTAGCACAACCTTGGTTAAGTTTTGCAAATCACTGGAGGATAAATCTTTCCTCTCCAGAAAAGCCATAGCAGCAGACAGAGTCATTTTGGTGTTCAATATGTACAGCAACATTCACCATGAAAATGTTCTCAGCTTTAAGCATAGCAAGACCCAACACTCATATTTAGCTGTGGATATCAACTCCCAGAAGAGCCCCAAAGTATATTACAATCTATCTCTTTTTGTAAAGTTGATAAAATATGAGATGCCAGATACTTACTAACAGATTAAAGCCACAAGATTCATTGGGTTTGGACAATCCACAATAAACCTTCATGTGCAAAGTTAAAACACAATCTGGAATATAAAAATCATATTCTAACATAGAGTTGTGGAGTTATACAGCATGGAAAGAGACCTTTTGGTCCAACTTGTCCTCACTGATGAGATATCCTAAACTGATCTAATCTCGTTTGCTTGCATTTGGCCCTTATAGCCTCTAAATCTTTCCTATTCATGTACGCATTCAGATGCATTTTAAATGTTGTAATTGTACCAGCCTGCGCCACCTCCTCTGGTAGCTCATTCCTTACACACACTATTCTTGGCGTGAGAACGGTACCCTTCTCTCACCTTAAACCTATGCCATTTAGTTTTGGATTCCCTACCCTGGGAAAAATATCTTGGTTATTCACCATATCCATGCCTCTCATGAGTTTATAAATGTCTGTAAGGTCAACCGCCAGCCTCAGGCGCTCTAGGAAAAAAGACCCTCAGCCTCTCCCTATAGCTCAAACAATCCAATTCTGGCAACATCCTTGTAAATCTTTTCTGCGCTGTCTTAAGTTTAACAACATCATTCCTATAGAATGCAGTATTCTAAAAGTGGCCTCACCAATGTCCTGTATAGCCGCAACATAATGTCCCACCTCCTACACACAGTGTTCTAACCAATGGAGGCAAGCATGCCAAATGTCTTCTTCACCACCCTGTCTACCTGTGACTCCACTTGCAAGGAACTATGCATCTGCACCCATCTAAAATTAACTTGAGACAGATTTGGGTAACAAATAACAATAAAACACCCATAGAGCACATCAAATGGCAAATTCAATCAAGAATCAAATTTCTGAGCAATCCCTGGATGTTATTGACAAGGTTCTTCATAGTACTCTGGTTAGTAAGGTTAGAACATATGGGATCTGGGGGAGTTAGCCAATTGGGTACAAAATTAGCTTGAAGGTAGGAGTTAGAAGGTGGTGATAGAGGGTTGCTTTTTGGACTTAAGGCCTGTGACCAGTAGTGTGCCACAGGATTGGTGCTGTGTCCTCTGCTTTTCATCATTTATATAAATGATTTGGATGTGAATAAAGGAGGCATGGTTAGTAAGTTTGAAGATAACACAAAATAGATGGTGTAGTGGACAGTGAAGAAGATTTTCTCAGAATACAATGGGCCTTGATCAGAAGGGCCAATGGGCCGAGGATTGGCAGATGGAGTTTAATTTAGATAAATGTGAGGTGTTGCATTTTGCTAAGGCAAACCAGGGAAGGATTTATACAGTTAATGGTAGTGCCCTGGGGAGTGTTACTGAACAAAGAGGGTGCAGGTACACAGTTCCTTGAAAGTGGAGACACAGGTAAACAGGGTGGTGAAGGTGTTTGGCACGTTTGCCTTCATTGGTAAGAACATTGAGTACAGGAGTTGAGATCTCATTTTGCACCTGTACAGGGCACTGGAATACCTTTGGAATACTGCGTACAATTCTGGTCACCCTTCTATAGGAAGGATGTTGTTAAACTTGAGAGGATGCAGAAAAGAATTACAAGGATGTTGCCAGGATTGCAGAGTTCGAGTTATAGGCAGAGGCTGAATAGATTGGGACATTTTTCCCTAGAGTGTCGGAGGTTGAAGGGTGAACTTAGAGGTTTATAGAATCATGAGAAGCATGGATATGGTGAATAACCAAGGTCTTTTTCCAAGGGTTAAGCAGTCCAAAATTAGGGGGCATAGATTCAAGGTGAAAGGGGAAAGCCTTAAAAAGAACTTTTTCACACAGAGGCTGGTGTATAAATGGAATGAGCTTTCAGAGGAAGAGATGGAGTCTGGTACAATTACAACATTTAAAAGGCATCTGGATGGGTGTATGAATTAAAAGGGTTTAGACAGATATAGGCCAAATGTTGGCAAATGGGACTAGATTATATTGGGAAGTCTGGTCGGCATGGCTGAATTAGACTGAAGGTCTGTTTCTGTGCTGTATGACATGGTAGTTTTCAAATCTCATCAAAATTTCATAAGAGATCACAATTCTTCTGATGATCTGCCCTTGAGCCTCCTTTAAGAGCTGCATGGATTGCCATAATGACGGCTAAAGTTGTGATTGATCACCCTCCTACCCTGGGAGTATACTTCACTGGATTCTGGGAACTGGGACTCTAGTACTTATTCACTGCCGCAAAGCTAACTTTTCATTGTTGGTAGCTTTACCAAGCAGGCCCTGCTCCTTCCT